TATTTTTGAATAACTTTAAAATTTTGTAAAAAAATCCAAATTTGATCAGTTAAATTCCGTATTTAACATACGAATTATCTCGGACGACTCGTTATCAACAATAGTACCATTCACCTTATCATAAAGAACTGGGATTGTGAAACGACCACTGTAATCAGGATCAACTTTGAAATAGACCTCCCTTATCATAGAGAAACCATTGACAGTATCAGGAGTGGCTCCCTCGACAGCTGGATTAAACCTCCATCCATTGGGCCCCATATGGTAATCCACTACGTTGAACGTTATGACATCTTCCAGACCTTTCAACTGGCGTACGATGAGTGTCCTGTGAGCCCAGGGGCAAGCGAGCGAGACATAGAGGTGATATCGACCAGCTTCTGCTTTGAATCCTGAGCTACCATCAGCTGTAATCCAGTTCCGGAATGAACTGGGTTTTCTGATAAATTCTCCTTTCTCGTTAGCCCATTTTAGTATGTCCGTAGTATCTATGGTATGTCAGACTTCCCCGTATCGCTTGCCATCTTTTTGTGATAATTCAAAAAGGTGCTACTGCGGTTGGCTACTGTAAACAATCTACTCAAAAGTTGCTGCATGTATAAATTCTTGTAAAAACACGTGAATAGGCGTGTCTTGTAAGGGCGTGGCATACATTACATAAGCTGGCAAGGGTGTGGCTGCTTTGCTGCAAAACTAATTGCAAAAGCAAGCAACTTACTATGGCTAAAAGAGTGTTTTATTTAGGTAAATAGAAACTGAGAGATGGTAGAGCTTTTATATTTATCAAAATCTTCTTTAGATATCAGTCATATGAAGTTGGTGTCTGATGTCTTAAAGGAAAGTCACCTCATTGATGCTGACTGGTTTGAGTTAGGAATGGGATTAAACCTACCTTATCCTGACCTGGCAAACATCAGAGCTAGATTTACTGATCCTTCTCAGTGTTTACTGGAGTGCTTGAGCTTGTGGTTGACTTCAGCTAATAATCGTACTTGGGAATCATTAGCTAGTGCACTTGAGAGAATGAATCAAAAACCAGCTGCTACCCTCATCCGTAATACATGTAAAGTTAACATGCATACAGTACATGTCTACACTAGTAAACAATTATCAGGTTTTCAAATAAATCTAATGTATAATTTTTATTTTATAGATGATGATCCTGCTAGTCAGATATTGCAGCATTACAGTGATAGAATATCACAAGTATCTCTCACTGATAGTTGTATCCAGTTGTTATATACAGAAGGATTAATCACTGAGGATACACAAAGGAAGATTGAGAGATGTGGTGGCTCATTAAGTGATACATTAATATTAAGAGAATTAATGATTGCAGTATCTGATGATCACAGTAAGCTGAGGTTACTAGGAAATATATTAATGAAATTAGAAGAAAGAAAACTTTTAGCTCAAGATATTATTAAAGATTGTGGTAAGACCTCCTTCACCATTAAAAATAATTTAATTTTTAAAAATTTAGACAAAATATTTTCTGATGCTGATAGCATTAATATAGAGGAATCTTTGC